TTTCAATGTCGATCAGCCAAAATTTCTGGCAAAACGACCTGCCCCTTAATTTTTAGGATTTGCACACTGACTGATAAGCAAATCATTTAAAAAAAATGTTTTCTTTTTTGGAAAAAGATGCAAATGCAAGATAGTTTTCTCTGAATTAAAACAAATGATAAAAAAATAAGATTTTTTTTTTCAAATTAATTTCTTTATATATATATTAATATTAATAAAAATACAGCCAAGAATATATTTTTTAAATATGGGTCATAAAAATCCGGCAGGTCACCAAAAGTATATTTATTATTATTATTATTATTATTAAATATGCAGGTCATCAAAAAAATTTTCATAATAATAATATGGCTGGCCACCAAAAATATTCTTTTTTAATATTGTTGTAATTGAACTATGTGAAATCATAATTAAAATTTTGGGTGGGTGTTTGGATATGAAATTCCAGTGCTGGCAATGACAGTTATTTAAATACAGTAAATAACTGGTTCAAAGGTTAAATAACCAGTTCAAAAAATCATTTGAACTTATGAACTTTGGTTCAAATAAAATCACATGACATAAATTGATTGATTTATGTGCACAAAGCAACAGGAGAGACCGTCCTATATAAGGAATGGATTTTCACAATTGATTTCAATTTTTTATATACAATTTAAAAGGGTATTACATAGCCTATTCTTGCAATAAATCATGTGTAAATAATTACACAAATTTGAAGTTTTACACTTTGTTGTTATCATATCTTTTGAATCCCTTTGAATCCCTTTGAATCCCACAACTTTCATAATACGATTTACTTGAAGAAAAAAATGTCTGAAATTAAACATTGCACAGAATGTAAAACCATTAAATCAGCTAAAGAGGCTGAGAACAACAACTTAGTGAAAGTAACATGTTGTTTATGTAACATTTGTTATATGAATTTTGTAGAAAATCTTTTAAAAAGAGAGTAAAAACCACAGATGCAGAAGGGAAGAGGAAGAGGTAAGTGAAAAGATTGATTTCACTAGAGCCATCAAGGTCCTATATAT